GGAGGGAGGGAAGGGAGGAGGGAGCAAGGGCCGGGGAGAAGGAGCGGTGACGGACCGCGCGCCCAGGGGGACGGGGAGGCTGCGCTGGGCCCCGGGCAGGGGTAAAGTTTCCTTGTCCGCCCGGGGTTCCAGACGTGCCTGAGTCAGGGATGGGGACCTCGGGGTCACTGCGTGCGACTGGGGGGTCCCGGAGCGGGTCTGACCTCCCTCCCCACATCTCCAGCCTGGGCGCCCGATGCCTGCCTGGAGGGGTGGGGGCGCGTCTAGGGGATCCGGCGCAAGGAGAGGCGCCCCTAGCACATCTGGGTTACTCCATCGCGCCAGCCGGTGTCTGCAGCCTGAAAATCTCTGGTCTTGTTCTCCCACTAGCCGTTCAGGACTCTCTCCGCCCGCAGCCCCCGCCTCCCCCGGTACCTCCGCCAGGACCCAAGAGGCGTCCAGAGGGGAGCCCAGGCCCTGCGCCCGCCTTCTGGTGAGGAAGATCCCCTCCCCCTCAAGGTCCAGCCTGGGGTCAGGGTCTGTCGGCCCCCACCCCTTGCGTGGCCTGCGAGCCCCGTGGACTGCGTGGCATGAAGTCACGCCCCCATCCCCCCTGCAGTGGGTGAGGGCGTGTAACAGAGCGTCTCCCCGGCCGGGTGCTTGGAGAGCAGACCCGAGGCGCCCCTGGCCTGGCATTGAACAATACGGGTCGCCCCCGGTGGTGGCGCACGGTCCCCAGGGAAGGGCCCCGCCCTCAGGTGGGTGGCGAGGTGGCCGCCCACAGAGTAGCAGGTGCGTTGGAGGAGGGGCGCCTTGTGCGGCTGAACTTCGCGTGCAGGAGGAGAGGGCACTGGCTCTGCAGAAACATCAGACCCGGCCATCCCTGCAGCCGCGCCCCTGGCCCAGCCTCAGGCTCTGCCGCTGGGACACAGCCCCCGAAAACGGAGACTTCCGTCGTCGGTAATGGAGGGCAGACCAGAAGGGGCTGGAGAGGTCCCGAGGCCCTCCGCTTTCACGCCCCTCCCTCCAAGGCTGCAGGTCGGGCGACGGAGCTGTCGGTCAGGAGTCCCCTGGAGCAACCCCCACTCCAGTACAGGCCTCTGGAGCCTTACAGCTCCCTTCCTATCGACTCTCCCATCTCCTCTGTCCCCACCCCCCACCTTCCTTCTCCTCCTCCCCCCAGCTTCTCTGAGCAGCCACTGCTCCTGCCCACCTGCCTCTCCCCTCTCTGCCCACCTCTCCTACACTCCTGATTCCAGGTTGAGCTCATGGCTCCTCATACACCTGCTCTGGGACGGGCAGGAGCTCCTCCTCACTGGCCGGAGCTGTCTGTCCGCTCTGTGGGCAGTGCCTGCAATTAGAGCTTTCAGAATGCACAGCTGCTGCGCAGTGGCCGGTTCCGCGACAACACCTGGCCTGCTTCTGTGGCCCTCCCAGTGCTGCTGGCCCAAGCAAGCTGGATGCAGGGACCCCTTGCACTTCCACGGCCCCCTCAAGGTGGGCTCTTAAGAGATAATGCAAGTGCAGAGAGGTTAAGCAGCTTGCTGAAGCTCACACAGCAGTACTGGGATTCCAACCCAAGCCATCTGGCTTTAGGGTCTGCACCCGGGCCTCCTGCTGGGCTCAGGTGTAGTTTTGGGCTGAGGTGCCCTTACTGGGACAGATCCCAGGTCTGCTTTCCTGCAGTCTTTCCTGGAGCCACCAGTCTCCACCACCCACCCTGCTGACGGCTCTCCCTCAGACCACCCTGCAGATCCAACCCTCAATGGTTTCAAGGTCCTGTTTCCCTAGGCAGACTGAAGTCCCCCAAGGAAGGATTCCCTCTCTTCCTCCTCCTCTCCTTGCTCTCCCCAAGCCCCTGGGCAGTGCAAGACCCTGGTCCTTCTGGTCTACATGAAGCCCCTCCATGGGCAAGTTCTGTGCCAGGAACTAGAAGGTTCCAAGCTGGATGGAGATTTGGGCTGAGCAAGCAGCTGGTAAACACAGGGAGGGGAGAAGAGCAAAGTCCCCCTGAGGCCCCGTGAGGGCAGCCTGCTGACCTCTGACCCACTCACAAAACCCCACCCCGCTCCCTGCGGCACAGCCCACGAGGCTCCCTGCTCAGGAAGGGGGTGGAGAGGTGGCAAGGCCGGTGGCTCCCGCACAGGATAGAGCAGCCTGTGCCCTTTGGTTCAGGCCCCACCTTGGTGAGAAACCCCTGCCTGTGGTGTCGCAGAGCAAATGCCATTGGCAGAGCTGAGTCCACATTCTTTTGTTGTTGGAGAGGCCAGCCACGCTGCGGTCCCGGCTGGAGTCCCTGTGAAACGGGGTTTTCGTTTCTCTGACTCGGCAGCTGGTCGAAACGGGGCTCATCTGCTGCTGATAAAGTGATGTCCGCCTCGTGGGTTCCACGCCCACACCCTGTGCCCAACCCTCCCGTGGCAAACCAAAGACCCCTTTGGGAAGACGACGCCCCCGCTCCTGCGCTTGGGCTCATGGTTTCACCCTGGACTTGCTAAAATTGAGGCCTCCTGCGGAGGTTATCGGGTCAGAGCAGGGGAAGGGGCGTGTGGTGAGCTGGGTGAATCCCTGAAGGGCAGCCTGAGGGCCACGGGCATCCACTCAGCTGGGCACAGAGGAGTTTGTTTAACTCCAGATTCTGGAGCCCCACCCTCAGACACGGTTCAGTCTGGGGTGAGGCCTCCACATCTGTGGCTTCCACCAGCCATTGCTGGGCAGCTCTGATGCAGGCAGCCTCGAAGTGCCCCGAGAAATGTCGGCTTAGAGCCACTTGGCGCAGGGCTGATGCAGAGGGTCAGTGTCCCCCATCCCAGCCAGGGCTCAGCCCGAGCCTGGTGTCCTGGCCTGGGGCAGGGGCTGGCATTTGCCCCGCGTTGGTGCAGGGGAAGAGGCCATGGGCCTCTCGGCAGGAACCTGGCAGAGGCTGGGAGGCTAAGCCAGCTTTGCCTTTTCCGTCTCCTGCTCACTTTTCTAACAAAACAGGCCCAGGCTTCCACAGGGTCTATAGCGGTCTCAAGCCTGCGGCTCTCCCTGGTGGATTCCCACAGGTGAGTTCACTCTGAGAGCTCAGCCAGGGCCAGCAGGCCTGTCCCTCCCGGAGCCAGGGGCCAGGCCAGGTCAGCTGGATGTCCAGGGCTCTGGCGACACCGCCCTGCGGCCAAGTGCGCACGCTCACACGCATCTGTCCAACCTCGCCGGCTTCCCCTTTGGATTTGCTAATGCAGCAAGATTAATCAGGTCTAACTCATTAATTTGCACAGCCCCTCCCTTCCACCTGCGCCCGCTGGAGAGCGCTGGTTGTGG